CCGCTTACCTGCGTAGAAGTGGTAAAAGGGCCACCAGACAGCGCTGTTTGGGATGTAGGTAAGCAGCGAAGCCACGTAGCCTCGATAGAAGCCGCGAAGCCCGTCGGCCCGCAGGATCTGCCTGATGATGTCCTTAGTCTGGCCAAAGGCAACAACCCCTTGTCCTTCTCGGCCCCCACGCACCTGGAAGCGGCCCATCTTCTCGCCTCTGCGCTGCATCATCAGGTGCTGAGACACCACGTCGATGGGCACGGTGATGCTTTGGGCCACCAGGGAGGCCGATCCACCGGCCACCAGGGACTTGACTGTGTTGCTCTGACTGTAGTCGGCTACGAACTTGCGAGTGAGCTCGTAGGTGGTGACATAGCACTGGCCGGAGATGAGGGTGAAGGTGTTGACCAGGAAGCCCCGGTACAGGCCGGTCACCCCGTCTGCCCGCAGGATCTTGATGAAGGCGTCAAAGGTCCCATGGTAGAGGCTCTTGCCCTTCTGAACCTGCAGGCGCGTGCGGATGAGGGTGAATGGGTAGACGCTCACGCGGATCATCATCGTCATGGCCACGCCGAGCACGTAGAACTTCTTCTTGTCCAGGTGCTCCCACTCGATGATCTGGATGTTGCGTTTGTCCTCCATGGCGCCTGAGGGGCTGGGGTTGGGCAGGGTGCAGGCTGTGACCAGAGTGCTCAGGGCCAAGCACCAGAGCCCTCTCCCCAGGCTGCGGCTCCACCCGGCTCTGCAGACTCCTGCCTTATCCCTTCCTCCGTTAGCCAGCCCTCAGCGGGACTCCTGATCCCAGCCAGGGAGCATGCGTGCCGAGCTCTCTGCCTGGGCCACAGCGGCACAGCCCTGGACAAGCCGAGCACCTGCAGGATGCAGGCCACTCCACTAAGCAACGTGGAGGAGGCTCCTGGGCTCCCTGAAGCTGCAGCGGGTCCTCTCAGCCCGGCTCCCCGCTGCCTTGGCCTGGTCATTGCGAGATCCCTGCATGGCCCCTGAGCTCCCGGACACTCGCTCTGCACTCAGTCTCCCCAACCCACATCAGAAGAAAGTGCGGGGAGGGGTGCAAGGGGGCTTTGAGCCACAGGGCCCCACTGCCAACTGCCAGCCTCCAGGGAGAGAAGGGGGGAGTTGGGAGCGGGCCAGAGGTCAGAGTCCCCTTCGGATCATTAGATAACCGGCTCCAGAAAGAGAAGAGTCCTGAGGGCTGCAGTTCCCCTGCACAGCCTGGAAGCCACGGGGTGGAGGACAGATGAGACCCCATACTTTCGACCCTGGGCGCGCAGAGCACAACCTCAAGCCTGGAGAACAAGGGGAGAAGGGACAGAGATGACAGACTGCTTTTGAGAAACTCACAGGTTGTTCCAGGTGACACCAAAGCTCTCTAGGGACTGAATAGCGGATACAGAGGAAAAGAAAGCAGGGCAAATAAATGTACACGGAGCCCACATGTAAGTTTATCCAACACCTAGAATTTCAACAAAACTAGTAAGCTTACGAATGTAATGACAGGATGAAACCGGGGGCTTCATTCAACTTTAGGAAATGTGAAGTCAGAGGACATCGGAGAGATATTCCTAGGGTGACGTCGCGTGCACCACCGTTTGGGAGGGCGCGGGAAATGCTCGCCCAGGCAGGAAGAGTGGGAAGCTAAATTCCAGAAGTGAGAAGACAAGGGCTCCCTGGGGTTTAGGGAAGGAGGCAGCCACCTAGGGAGGACTCTAAAGGACAGAATCCGTTCTGCACAAGCAGCTCTGGCAGCAAATCCCACCCTGTCGGGACAGACGCAAAGAACTTTCCAAAAGAGGCGAAGAACCTGGACCTAATTTACCCACAGCATGCATGCTGATTCCTGGCACAGAAAAATGATTTTCAGGACTTGTCAGTAAGAGGCACGGAGGGCCGGCCATGTAGCTCAGGGGTGCCACGATTGCCTAGCAAGCGAAAGACCCTGACTTCGATCCCCAGTATGGGGGTGGGGGGGCAGGAAAAGATTTATCTAGAAGAAAAGTACACACCCAGAAGGGCATGTGTGTGCTTGGAGAATGAGAAGCATTATTTTCTGGAGCTGGGAATATTTACTTGGAGGGGTGGAAGCCTGGGGAATCTGTGAGTCTACAGGAAGTTTCATCTTGGTCTACAGGAGAAAAAGATGGTCCACCCACAGAAAGAAAATAACAGCCATCTGGGAGGCTGAGGCAAGCGGACTGCAAGTTCAAGGCCAGTCTGGACTACATAGAGAGACCCTATCTAAAAAAACAAAAAAAACAAAAAAACAGGCCATTATAGGAGAAAGGTAGGGCCTGGTGTATTATTTGTTTTGACTTAGTTTCAAAAGGGAGTGATCTAAATTGTTCTTTAACTCTCCAAATCTGTTTCTTTCTCAGGTTTCTGCCCTTTCCTCTATCAACTAAACTAATTTATGGACTTATAGTATCTTTAAGGGATTCTGGGTCTCACAAGCTAGAAGAAAACTGGCATAAACAAGCCTAGGGAGTACAGCTATGGATACTTTGAGTAACTTTCATTGTCCTGAATTCACGGTCTTTTAAAAACACAACTTTGAAATTAAGATTTTCTTTGACACCCTTTTATCCATCTTGGTTTTTTTCTACCCTACCTTGACACCAAGTGTCTAATCAGAGTCCAGCCCTGGCCAGAGGCCCCAGCTCAGGGCAACTGAGCTTGGTTTGGGTGGAAGTGGGGGGCTGGCTTTCAGGGAATCCGAGGCGCACTGCATCACTCCATACAGAGTGGGCCACTCAGGTGCAAACTGTACCAAGAGCCGAGACGAGGAGGGACATGATGGGCTTCCCGGAGGGCGAAGCAGGTGAGCGCAGGAGTGAGCCCGGGAGCAGGGAAACCGAGACGACACTGCTTGGAGAGGGGAAAGGGAAGTCAGGTGTTGTCCAGAGGAGGAAAGCGAGGCTGTGGGAAATGAGCTAGAGATGGGGTCCGCAGGCAGCAGAGCCCCGAAACACACGGTGCCACCTGCTGTAACACAGATGGCCCTGCCTGAGCTACCCAGGGATCCAGCGGGGCCGTCCCCTCGGAGCTGGGAGAGAAGGTGGTCACTGTGTTTCCAACACCACGGAGAGATCACCAGGGTTTCTGTATACTGCTGCCTCCTGTGACCCTTCCAGCGTAACCTGTGCACCTCAGACACTGCGGGTACAGGAGATGGAGGCCTGGGACACTAAAAGTAACAGGCCCAAGGTCACACAGCTGCCCAGTGGTGGAAGCAGAATCCAAGCCAAGGTTTCTCCTCTACTCTGTCCTGCCTTCCACCCCAGGGAGTTGAAGACTCCAACCCAAAGTCATGCTGCTCAGTTTAAAGCCAAGCCGTGCCCGCCGGTGGAAGGCAGAGTTAATGCCCTCAGGCCACAGGTCACCTGGGGTTGCGCACAGGCTCCTGGGCAAGCAGCTGCCCAGAGACATCCCTCCGCTCTGTACAGAAAGCAGGTGTGGCCGCTCTTTCCCATGCTCATGGGCAGCTGAACTCTGGAGCTGAGCAGGCACGTGTTGTCACTGGGCAAATACAGGACTCATGCAGGAGGTCCTGCCCTGGGCATGCGCCAGCTCCGTGCACACAGGGCAGAAGGGCAGGGCGCTGAAGGGCTTGGCTCTCCCAACACCTCCTCAACCCGCAGAGAAGAATCACCAGCTGCAGCACCTCCTGATGAGGAAAACCCCTAAGGCGACACCTCTGGCTCCGCTCCCCCTGCTCCATCTCTCGTATGTGCCAGTGTGCTTTAAATTCCCAGAAAGCAGCGGGACTCTCGGAGGCAGGTAACTGTCACCACTGTCACAGTGCTGGAAGTCACCAAGCGTCATGCCTCCAAGGGCCAGCCACTACAACAGAAGGGCAAGAGGTGCTGCACTCTCTCTGTTCCCTCCAAAGGAGAAGGCTACTCCTAAAAGGCTGGATCTCAAAATACTCACTGCCACACAACTCTCAAACTTCCTGCTGAAATAATAAAACCAGTTCTTCTTGTTTTACCCTATGGAAAATCCTCTGTAGATACCTGTATCCAAAATTCCTTCAGCCTTGTTCAGTAACCCCATCATCCGGCCCCACCTCCAGCCCCACCTCCGACCCCATCCTGCTGGGGACTGAACCCAGGGCCTTCCCACTGAGCTACATTCACAGCTTTTTTTTTTTTTTTTTTTAAAA